CTCTCTCTCTCTCTCTCTGTATATATAGTCAAACAGAGCTGCCCGGTAAACCGTAGTTCACCGACTCATCAGGAGGCTGAACATATGTAGACATACAGAGTGTATATATAGAGAGACGCACACACACAAACACACATACCTGCCCACCACACATGCAGGCAGAAACATCAGCACACTGACGTATGTCCCCTTGTTTGCTTGTTGGTGAAGTCAAGTCAGTTTTAGCCCAGTGTGCTGTCAAATGCCCCATCAACAACTTGCTTGCAGACAGGATAAGGAGAATAGCAACAGTAAAAGGTTCAAACTAGTACCGAACTTTGCATATGCTGATCCAACCCTAGTGCTGCATATGCATTCTTGCCCTTCAAACTTGTAGAGAGGTACCAATAGCTTGTCCGTAGGTAAATGTTCTCAAAGATCAATTTCCGACAAGTTGCTTGAACATCACATATGCAGTTCCAACCCTAGTTCTGCATGGCATTATTGCCCAGTCCGCCACCACAGCCTGAGATCCCTGATTGACAGAGAGATACCTGCCGACTGCAATCCCCACGTAGACTAACCTACCTATTACTACCTCCCACGTGGCTGGAAAACACGGGCAGAGAGTATCCTGCCTGGTCTAGGGGCTATTTTTAGCTACACCCGAGTGCCGGAAGAGTCCTGTGGTGTCCTTTGCACATGAAAAAAAGCACACCCTCCATTTGTGATTGAACCAACGTAGGCGAACTTCCACAGCCAGAGGCACAACCAAGTAATCAGCTCCCTTCCCAGACATATCCACAACCAAGTCATCAACCTCCTCCCCAGCCATAGCCACAACCAAGTTATAAGCCTCCTCTTGATGCAGACAGCACGGACCGCACACAATTCACATGCATGGTCACCACGTTACCACACCAGTCCTTCCAAGCCCCGTTTTGCTGAAAACCCAGATTGCTGCTACATGCCAAAAAAGAAATAAACTGAAACAGGTACAAAATATTTTCTTTCGAGAAAAGAGAAAACAAAAGAAACTTCGAACCTATAAATAGAGTTATCAAATCAATTAAAAAAAAAAGATGTCGAATGTTCGGGTGACCTGAGCCTGTAAACTGTATGGAACGTGAACAAACAAAATATTCAAATTTGCAACCACGCCTTGGTCCACACACCCGCACATGAACCAGGATCAGAACTGGGAACAGACCATGACCCAAGACTTGGGCCTGAGCCATGCAGACGGTACCAGAGACCATGAACCACGGCGTGATCTCAACCATGGACTTGAACCATGAGCCAAGACCTGGACAAAGATCATCAACCCAGGCTTCAATCTCGACAATGGACCTGGACCATGGACCACCACCTCCTGGACTGAACCAGAACCATGAACCAAGGGTTGGATCTCAACCATGGACTCTACCATTAAAAACTTAGTCCTGGATCACACTAGGGGCGCGAACCAAGGCTTGGATTTCAACCATGGATTTGGACTATGAACCATCTGTTGCTGGACCATGATGACCCATCAGGTCCTGGGTCATGAACCATCTGGTCCTGGACCATGAACCACTTAGTCCTGGACAAGACTAGGACTATGAACCATCTGGTCCCTGGACCATGAACCACTTAGTCCTGAACCGGACCAGGACTATAAACCATCTGGTTCTGGACTGTGAACCAAGACTTGGATCTAAACCATGGACTACTAAGACCATCAACCAAAAAGGCTTGCATCTCAACCATGGGTTTGAACCATGAAGCTAAACCTGCAAACTTGACCGCAGTTCAAGGAACACTGATAAATCAAAGAGAGAGTGCAGAGCCCGAACCCCGCCAAATACACCCCCCCCTTCCCTTCTAGCTCTCTTTCTTTCTCCACTGGCCACTCTACGATTCAAATGCGTTACAACTTGCAACCCGTTGGGATCCCAAGAAAAGAAGGGGGTCTATGCAGGAAAAACTGCACGTCCATAAATCCCCACCCCCATTAGTCTGTTGTGATCCAATGAAAGGGGGTTATGGACGAATTGCAATCCCATAAATACCCGCCCTACCCCATCACATTGCACAAATACTGAATTGACCGTATCTCCTTTTCTGAAGGGGGTAGCCTCTTGTAACCTTATTGTATCTATCTGATTCCATCAGGACTCAAACTCATGACCTGTTTACTAGCAGTTCTACGTCTGACATTACCCAGCCACATGATGGGCTGTCATTGCTCGAGAATTGCTCTTTCTTTTACGTAACAAAAAAAAAAAAAAAAAAAAACAGTGTTCGTTGCGCCGAGAGAAGGTTAGCATCCCCCTCGCTTAAAAAAGGAGGGGAATAATCTACGGACTATTTAGGAAAAAGAAAAGAAAAGGAATAGGCTACAGACTATATGAGCACTTACGATTTTTTGTCCTTTTTTCACAAAAAGAAGGGGCCCATTAGGCCTTCATACTATGCTCAAATAAAACAGAGGCCAGGAATCCTCTACAAACAACCTCGAAGTACTTAAACAACCTCTATTTGAAAACCCACATATTTGATCTCCCTCTGGAGATTAGATTAGAGCGGATGCCTCTGTAAGCAGCTTCAGTAGAGGATGGATCGAAAAGGGAGTCATCGATTTTGGGGATTTATGAGATGATGACATTCAGGGTACATGGTTGTCTGGTTCTGACCTGAGATTGATTCTAGGCCAGGTTCGGGACATGGAGGCAAAAAAGAACGCTCTAATTTCGGCAATCCCTCTTGCCTGGAAAGTACTTGTCTTTTGATCCATCGTGAGTACTGGGGATTTATGGGATGACATTCAGAGGATATGGTTGTCTGATTCCGACCTGAGATTGATTCTACGCCAGGTTTGGGACATGGAGGCAAGACATAACGCTCTAATTTTCGTGAGATCCCTCTTGACTGGAACGAAAGAACTCGATTCCACTAGATCAGATCCACAAAGAACTTGGTTGGTTCGTGGCCAACGCGCCTGAGGCCACTTCGCAAATTTGGAAATTGATCTTGATTCAAGCAGATGGGAAACGTGTATTCTAGCATTGGCCGTGCAACAGCGATTTCACTCTTAAACTAACAGAGCCACGAATGCAACCGTCAGTGGGTTCCACATTCACCCAGATCAGGGTGATTGAAGAAACCCAGTCTGATGATACAATTGCTACTTTGAAGTGCGCGGTGATTGATAGCGTTCGTGTGGTGTTGTATGTGGTGTGCGTTGAGTGTGGACACAGCCTTGCATGGGTGGGGCAGATATCACAGCCGGTATGGTTCTGCTTTTGAACATCGTGTCCTGGTTGTAGTGCTTACGATACTTGGCTCTTGAGGTTGAGGTCACCAGATCGAGTCCGTTGTTGTGCGCACGGTCCCCAAAGGGCACCTTCCCAGCCGCATCACGCAGGATTGGCAGATTCGCAACTCGCATCACGTAAGTGGAAGCAGCGGCGCTCTGGCCGAACGTGCCAGCTATACCACCATCGAGCCCCTACGACGGGATAGGGTCTCGCAAGGTACAACTTACCTCCACCTGCGGGAGTTGTCACCATCCCTTGGGTGGGCCTATCCCCGCCGCGCTACTGAACCACGCACAGAAGCTTTTGCGTGCAATCACTGAGGTGGCCCAGCCGAGGGCATTTCTCGTACGTTGTACCATAGGGGGTACGGCCATGCCTAGATCGGACCCGCACACGAACCGTCTTGTGGGCCGCTGATCTCCAACGCGCGGTTTTGCACCAGTCGAGTAGGACATCCAAACTTAACCTTGCGCCACACAACAAAATAATATTACTAACTCAAACCTGCATATATGACTAGTCCCTTTTTCAAACTTTCTGCCCCAAAACTCCAAAGACGCTTTTAACCTTGCGCCACACAACAAAATAATATTACTAACTCAATCCTGCATATATGACTAGTCCCTTTTTCAAACTTTCCGCCCCAAAACTCCAAAGACGCTAAAGTGTTTGGGCAAGGCCAGTGCAAAGATGCATAAAAGGAATGCACGCGCGAGGGAGGCCATAAAACTCAATCATGTGTACTCACTCAATCGACTGTCATGGCGACGCTTCACGTGTTACCCACAACAGCGCAACCTCTCATGGGTTTCAAGGTTGCACACGATACTCAAGTATCGAAAGCAAAATATCGTGAAGGGGATATCCATCACAATATAAAACGGTTGACGTTGTTCAACCCTTGCAGCACCCCTGGCTTTTAGGCAGTGGGTGGCAGTGAACAAGGGGTGAGAGTCCAACACATAGGGGGAAACCCTTTTGTGCTGGACCAGAACCTGGAATGTCCTCAACAAGGACCTTGAATTCCAGGTTAACGACCAACGTTCGACCAATAATCTAAAAAGCAAACCCTTCAAGATGAGGTCCACTAATTTCTTTCTTGCAAAAAGATTAAAAAAAAAGGTAGGTGCGGGTTAGCGAGCAATTTGCCATACCCAAACCGAGTCTCATTTCGGTCGGGAGTCGTCTCAGAGATATATCAAGGAGAGTCATTCTCACAGCCACAGTTGGATCTTGTCACCCACACCCTGCATTCATATCACTCTCAATTTTG